GGTTTTATGAGGAGGAGTGTAGCATCAAGATTGGAGGAAGACTTATTAACAACCTACGATATGCAGATGACACAATCTTGCTTGCTGAAACCGAAGAAGACCTGAAGCACTTGCAGCAAAAGGTTAAGAACTATAGTCTTCAATATGGATTGAAGCTCATCATCAAGAAGACAAAATTCCCAGAGCTCTGGAGGCCTAGTGTCAAGAACCTGCACTGCAGTCCCAAAGTTACATGGTTCTAATCCACCAGATAGATGCTCTGATGTAGAAGGAGGGGCAATCTCCTGTACAAGTCAGATCTGATTTGACAGTACACACACTAAAAGTAATTAAAAAAAAAAAAAAGACAAAGATTCTCACCATTGGGCCATTTGGCAGCACCATGATAAATAGAGAAGAGTGCTCAGATCCACAATCAACACTCTTAACCCCAGCTGTTAGGAAATCAAAAGGCAAATTGCATTCGGAAAATCTGCTATCATGGACCTCTCCAGAGTGCTGAAGAGCAACGATGTTAGTCTAGATACAAAAGTGCGCCTAATCTAGGCCATGGTCTTCTCAATTACTTGTTATGCTTCAGAGAGCTGGACAATGACTAAGGATGACAGAAGAATAGATGCCTTCGAATTGTGGTGCTGGAGAAGAGTCTTGAACATACCATGGACTACCAAGAAAATGAATTGGTCTTTTTTGGAGAGAGTGAAACCAGTCTCGCCTTGGAGGCTAAGACTTTGAAGCTCTGCCTCACTTACTTTGGGCATGTGGCCAGGAGAGAGCGATCTTGGAGAAGGATGTGATGCTCAGAAGGACAGAGGGACTGCACAGGAGAGGAAGACCCCAGATGAGATGGATTGATACAGTAACTGGAGCATTGGGGGTTGGTATGTCGGAGTTAGTGAGACTGACTCAAGACATGGACGAATTCAGAGCTGCTCGCAATGGTACATAATGACAATAACATACTATGACAGGTTTGCAAGCAGGAGTGGCATCCACTTTCTAAAGAACATGCCTCCGGAAATTCTATGAACTTTGATAAATGTCTGGTTGTAGAGGGGCTTCAGGCCTTTTATTCTCGGGGTTGCTATGAATTGTGTTCAACTCAAAGGCAATTAACAACTATATATATATATATA